CCCCAGCGCCCAGCCCCAGACCCCACCGGGGGGCCGAGCAGCAGCGGACCCCCAGATAAACCAGCAGTAGGGGCAGCCCAGACCTGACAAATACCCAAACATACACAATCGCACCATCCCACCCTCATCCTCACCCCCACTCAGTCAAAGACATACAAGGACGCCACATTCCACTCATACCCCCGATACACACTCTATACCCCCCAGGTCCAGGACATGTACCCACCCCCTAATGYAYGCNHCYCACACCCGAACCCAGGAGGTAGACCCAATCATTCTGAGGTGGAGAGGAGCAGATAGCCAAGGCCCGGCCCGGGCCGCACCAGGATGCCCGACCAGCCCCCCGCCGCAGAAAAGCCACACCCATGACCACCCCACCACACCACCAGCGACCAAGTGCACCTCCCCAGCTGCCCACCCCCCGGAACCCAGCAGCCACCCCGGCCAGCGGGCCACCCATAGGAACCAAGAGCCATACCTCAGGAGACCAAGCAGCACCAGGGAGGACGGAGAGCCAGCCCCGCCCCCGGCGTCCATCCAAGCCCCGAGCCCACCCACAGCCCAGGACTGCACCCGGCGGTCCGCCCTTCTTCAGGACCCCCTCCCCAAATGGCAGTCGGGAATGGGATGGGAGTAAAGACCTTGACACCCCCACCCCCAGATGTACTGTTGGTGCGTGTTGTTCTATAGAGCAATTAAAAAAAGGAAAGAAGAAGAGGCAGAGGCCGGTGTGGTMCCAGTTTCCCCTCCACCACTACTCTAACCCAAAACCCTAAGTGTCTATATGCAAACCTTGTTGGGGGTTAGGGTTAGATCTCTTGTCTATGACCACCTTCCTGTCTCTTGACCCTCAACTCTTGCCTGATCCCTGCCTGGTACTTCTGCTAACTCTGATCACTGATTTTGACTTTGTTTCTGCCAATTGGACATTGCCTACTGGARTGTATTTTGGATTTGTTACCAGCTCTCTAAAACCCTGGCTCTGACCTTTGACTGACTTCTTGACTCCCGAGCTAAGCCTGACCCATTGCTTAGTTATCTTTCTATACATCACCAGATCTACACTGGACTTACCTGCCGAGAGACTCCTATTGTCAGAAAGTCAGTAGCTGATTGTTTACTCAGTGAACATACTTCATTAATCCATCACTCATCAGTGTTTTGCTCCTCAGAGTYTGCCATCCCGTGGGTCCGGAGATCCAACAGTTTCCGGGTTACAAATAAAACTTTTAAACCTGTTTTGTGTTCGCCTGCTCTGAATCCTAAGTCTGATTCTTGTCAACAAGACTTATATTAGATAATTACTGCACTGGCAATTATCTTTCAGCTGGCAACAAGTTATACCCCAACTGGTGCAATGAGTTGTTTCTCATTTCTTAAACAATCATGTTGAAAGACATCCCATCATGGAAAAGATTTCAGTCTGTTTGGGAAGGGTCAAATCACTGGCATGCATCAAGCACAGAAAACATCTAACGAGACTGCAGAAACTAATAAAATTGGGTTAAGGACTGTCCAACACATTATTAAAAACTGAATGGATAGTGGAGACCCATCACCTTTGAGGAAGAAATGTGGCCAGAAAAAAATCCTGAATGATCATGTTTGGCCATCACTTAAACATTTGGTGAAGTCAAATCAAAGAAAAACAACAGTAGAACTCAGGGCTGTGTAAAGTAAAGTTATTATTTGTATAGTGCCTTTCACATAAATAAATTCACAAGTACATTCAGGGAAGGGGGAGGGGGCAGTTAAGAAACACCCCTTCAAGAAGACATACAAGAAAAACATGGGGGAACAGGTGAAACCGGTCATGCAGCAAACACAGTTGCGCTACCATTAACAACAGCTTGAAATACGCAAAAGMAAAATTGAGTTAAACAACCTGTGAGAGTGCAAGATAGCCTGGGGTGGGGGCTTAGGTCAGGTCAGATAACACATAAAAGAGAGGTAAAATGGGGCGGGTTCAGAMGAGTAGGTGACGTTGAGGGAGGGGGGCTATCCGTGCTAGGCCCAACCTTGGGCTCATCCAGAGTCCAGAGTCACATGATGTTATTGTCTCTACCCAGTTCGCTAGAGTTCAGAGATTTTCRTCCTCCTCAGCCAATTGAGTTCCATGGCCGGGTCCAACAAAGGTGATGGGGTGGGAGCGAATCCAGCTCTTAGTTGACATTCCATCCTGGGGACGTTAAGATAAGCACTGCCCTCAAGGCCGTGCTGCTGGGAGCCAGATAGATAATCCAATTGTTTTGGAACAAAACAGCCTTGAAACTCCTGCTGGTTTTGAAATGTCTTTACTGCAAACTCTGAGGTGGCGAAAAAAGCCAATCAGCTGAATTTGGGGTCATTCCTCGCCTCTCACCGATTGAAGCTCACCCAGATGTAGTCCATACATGCCGAAGGGTCGCTCTTGAGCTGTGATCCTCGTCAGAARCACATCCAGTTTGCAAATTTTTCCCCTAGCTGAGAGTCTGTMTGCTTCCAGCGGGCAGAATCCTTCAAGGCCCTATCTGCTGTCAGGGTCGCTTTCACTTTTCGATAAATCTGGAACCCTCCTCCGCCGATCAGCAGGAATCCAGTTATCATAATCCAAATAAATAATGATRTTCCATGTCTTCAATGGAAAGTGGTGCTGGCATATCAGATTCCAGCCCCAGGAATCAGACAAGTCCAGCAGCAACCATTCCACCCAGAAAGCCACGTTTCCCTCGTTCCAAGTGGAGAAAAAAAATTGTGTCAATTTCATTCAGAGTCCAGTTAACCAAATCCATAATTCCTTTAGTTTTGGATGGAAGGTGAAAAAAGAGCTCAAAAAAGCAAAAGCAGCGAAGCAGGGTGGGGTGGGGGGGGGGCAGAGAGAGCGAAAGCACGTCCTGCTCCTCTGAAGGCCAAGCAGAAAAGTGAAAATGAGTAATAGTGAAAGTAGGAACATTTCCCCACACACAATGCAAAGGGAACCCAAGAGATTTGGACTGAACAGCTGTGTAGCTTTAAGAAAACCACTAATCAGTGAGACAAACTGGAAAAAAGGCTTGCTAAGGATAATAAAGATCAGACTCTGGAGCTATGGAAGGTCATGTGGTCTGATGAGTCAAGAGTTACCCTSTTCCAGCATAAGAACTGGTAAGAAGAGAGTCAGGTGGAGTGATGCACCCATCATGCCTAGTGCCTACTGCACAAGCCTGTGTGGATGGTGCTACGACCTGGAGCTACTGCAGTTGGTAAGGTCTGCGTTCAGCAACAGTATGTGCTTCAAGAATGAGGTCAGCTGACTACCTGAATATAGTGAATGACCAGGTTATTCCATCAATTAACTTTTTTTCTCCCCTGATGGCATGGCCATATTCCAAGATGACAATGRCATGATTCATCAGGCTTGACTTGTGAAAGAGTAGTTTAGGGAGCATGAGACATAACTTTCACACATGGATTGGCCACCATAGAGTCCATTGAGAATCTTTGTGATGTGCTGGAGAATGCTTTGCACAGCGGTCAGACTGTCAGACAATCAATAAAAGATCTTGGAGAAAAATTAAGGCAACACTGGATGGAAATAAATCTTGAGACATGGCAGAAGCTTATCCAAACAATGCCACAGCAAATGTGTGCCGCAATCAAA